TAACAATGATATTCCTTTGCACAAAGTCACTGCGTGCACTGCAGGGGCAGTTCTGGTGGGGCACTGGCAACATGCATGCCCCCCCCCCCAAATACATACAGTATGCCAATTGGGTCTGAATAAGTTATTATTATTATTTACACTTACATATGTGGGCTAAAAATTAGTGCACTGAGAACAGGTGAAACAAACGTAAGCACATTAAGGTCAAATGCATCTGGTCCCCCTAACAGAACAACTGGCCCCAGTCTGCCAAGCTGAAATGGTCTAGAACTGTCACTGATACACTGCAGGTACAGCTTGATGACGGTGAGCTCTTGTGCACCCCTGCAGATGCAGGCTGACCTTTACAAGGCTGTGAACACATAGACAGCACATGTACCACACGCGGTGAGCCTCAGCACAAGACTGGCATCGTCGTGGCGTCCAGCGGTTCGTTCGTACGCCGGCATCAGCCCAGCAGACAGACGGACGACTACAAGACAGCCGCAGTCCGGCTGCAAAGCTCCGCCAAGTCGGGATTAAAACCTCTGTGGGCCAGAGAATGATACACAAAGCATGTAACAGGGTTTCAGGTTTCACAGTCCGTGTAACGATGATTGTTCTGCACAGTCACCTGTACTCAGAACAGACAGGCTTTCAAAGGTGTCATTTTTCATCCCTACTGTTGAGCTTTTCAAGCCAACATCCCCCTTCAGTGAGGAATTTTTTTACTGAGGAAGCTAAACCGACAGATAAGAAAACCGAAAACGGGAAAAGTTTATGGACCCTCCCTCGTCTGGGGTAATCGAGGGATACCCTGGCCCCAAAAGCATAAACCGAAAATCCTGCCCTAACAGCATGTTTATGCGAGCCGCACAACACCATGGAGGGTTAATTCCTTAAAGCTGTGTTATATAATTATATAAATAAATAGCACTGCCTCTCCTCTTGGGAAATGACTCATACATATTTGAGCAGCCTGTCTGCCGGAAAAGCGCATCGCGGCGGCTTGGAGACGCCAAATCAAGGTTTGCGGGGCTCGTGTAGATGGCAAGCAGGTTCTTCCTGGACTGGGGGGGGGGGGAAAGTATAATTTATCTCAGAATGTTAGTTTCACTATGCTTTGAATTGTTATACTGTTGGTATAGTTTCCTAATGCCGCCTAAAATTAAAATAAATAACAAAAAATCTTAATTCTGATGTAAATCTTCAATTCAGCCAAGGTTACAGCCTTTCTAAGTCCCGCCCTCTAGTCAAGGCGGCTGGCGAAAGCTTGGAAGGTTGAAAACCTAATGTGCTGAATTGCGTTGAATCTTATGCGGACACCTGTGCTGGGGCAGGTTCATTAAAATGACAAGTTAAAGATCTTCTTAAATTGTTAAATGTCAATAGATTTGCATAAATTAAACATGCAACAGGTGTTTTCAAACCAGCTCCACTGCATATACGTAACACAAGACGATATTGCATTATTGTTTATTAGACTTTAGTTATGAAGTGTTTCTGATGTCCCGGTGCTCCTACATTCCACACACCAGCTTATAAATCTGTGTGCCAGACGTGCAGTGAGGAAAATGGTAAACGATGCCGCTTGGCAACTGACTGCTGGAATGTAAACAAATCGCACACCTGTGCTTCCAAATGCCACGACGTAACCTTTCATTTGAAAACGCGACATGGAGACAACGCAGCGGAGGCACAATTAATTAATTGACAGAAGTTATTCACACCGAGCCCTTTTTTTTAATTTTCACTTTAATTAAAAATATTCCCAGGTAGCCTTTATAATCACACGAACTTACCCCTTGGTGATGAATTAACTACCTTTTGGGTTAATCTCCTACGTGTCAAACATGTTTATCTGCAGACGCTTAGTTTGTTCTGTTATACGTGAGAAGTTCGACCTGGCAGCTAACTCTGCTCTACTCAAAGGCAACACTCACTGGTACAGTACAAGAAACAGGAAACGACAACCTGTTGCTGACTCATCATTTTGGGTTTTGTATCCACTAAGAGTGTAACCCCCACTCCCCTATGGCCCAAGTGATAAATTTAAGTAATTTTCCTGGGGCAACATGGAGAATTCTATCCATAGGCACTTATATTCAGGGTTGTGGGCGTCCAGGGCATATCTGGAAACCAAAAGGCACAAGGCAGGGAATAACCCAGGACAGGGTGCCGACCCATTCCAAGCAGACACACGGCAAAACCAATTCAACTTTATTAAAGTTGGGGGGGGAGGTTCCCCAGAGGAAACTTATGAGGACAAGGGGAGGGCATGCAAACTCCAAGCATGCAGAGCCCACAGTGTGATGTTACACTGCTAAGCACTGCACCAGCACGCCACCCATCATGCAAGGCCCAAAGTGTGATGTTACACTGCTAAGCACTGCACCAGCACGCCACCCAGCATGCAGAGCCCAAAGTGTGATGTTACACTGCTAAGCACTGCACCAGCACGCCACCCAGCATGCAGAGCCCAAAGTGTGATGTTACACTGCTAAGCACTGCACCAGCACGCCACCCAGCATGCACCTGTCCTGACAGCTTAATCATAGAGTCAGGACTGCTGTCAGGACTCATATCACCCTGATATATATGATGCAATGGCCCCTCTTTCAGACACTGGGAAGAAAAGTTTTTTTGCAGAGTAAATACAATTCCGTTTAAGGCAAAAGTCATTCTCTTCTCTTTTTACTTTTAATTGTAACCATGACTCATATGGAGTAGATTAGAAAATCTTTAGATGATCAGCCAAGCCAAGCAGTGGTATTAGGGGCACAGATTTGAAAACCATGGTATCGCAAACCCTGACTAAACACCTTTGTCTTCTCAGTAGTTTCACATACTGTATTATAGAAAGGCAATGAAAGTAATTTGCTCAGTTTTATTTTGTGTTGCCTTGTTTGGATATTTTATTTTTTTTAGGTTAATTTAATGTACTATTTACAATGTTTCTCAAGGTGCATTGCAAGGAAACAAAAATGGCGGACTGCCGAAGTAAAGCATTTAACAAGAATGGTTCTGGAGTCCCATAATGCTTTGGGTCACAATGAAAAATGACAGCCAGTCCCAGCTGCACATAACTAGCGAGCAAGGTGACTTTATGAGGAAGATGGAGAAATGTCAGACCATGTCTGACTGGAACTTCATTGATGAATGCTCGACTTCCTGAGGTTTCACAATGTACAGCAGCTCTGACGACAGCAGCTTGGGAGCCTGGGGGAGAGACAGCAGCTGGGGCCGCAGCGGACTGAGGAACATGTTCCCTGACCAAAACGCATGTGCATTTGGTATGATAATCAAAGAAAAGTAATGGAAGCAAATCAATAGGGTGACATCATATGCAATCGATAGTGTGAGCAGGCAGTTTCATGACATGACACTATGGGTCTGTAAAAGGCATTACATTTAAAAAGATACTTCTGTCACAAATGTAGTGCAAAGGACAGGTCAGTGAAAATGGGTGCATTACCCATAATCCTGATGAACAAGTGGTGCCCTGAACCAAAAGAAGTCTGTAAACTTCAGTCATTCTCTCACTTAGAATGTACAGTATACACAGCCACAGCATAGAGAAAACCATAGGCCTACTCCAAACATAAAACCATGCCATGTAATCATCCAATGGCAACACATTCTGATCCATTTCTGACGTGACAACTCACCCATTCGCAGTGGATCAGTGGTCACGGAATGGATTTATGAGCATGAAAACAACTCAACAGAGCAGTGCCTGGAACAATGGAATCACATATCACTAACAGTTGCACACACATTCATAGAATGTATGCCAAGGGCTATTGAAACTGACCCAGTGGCCCATGGTGGCCCTGCACACTACTAATACAATTTACATTTGGTTTCCTTTCATTGTGGCCGGTACCTGTATGTTATTACCAAAAATATTATGTCCATATTCAGCACATGCAATGTACAAAGAATACACTGGAATCTCGCCGATTACAAACATTAAATTACAAAAAGTGACTTAAAACAGGAAAGAAGTTGAATATTTAAAATTTGAAACATTTTAACTCAACACTGACAGCAAAAGCAAACTACCATAGTTAACAAACATTACAATGAAATCACCAGACCAAAGGCACCAAACAGCAACCTGGCAACAGTCCTGATAAAAGACTACATCATTCCATCATTCCAGCTGATAAGTGATAAAGTAGCTCCTACAGGATGATGAAATAACGTATAAAAATAGGCACAGCATTTTTTTTTTACTGATCAGATCATTTGTGCCTATAAAAAAACAAACACTGAAGTAAAAACATATCTAAGCTAATATCATAGTATTCAATACTATACATCATACGGCAGATATTATCAGAAATATCAAAAACATCCACAAACACATACATAAAATATTAATGAATTTAGATTAATGGATATCTGTTGCTTTGACTGACTGACAGGATAGTGAAGCTCTGCATTAGCTGGACACAGCAGTCAGGAGACAGGATGAGTGTCATCACTTTGGCTTTAATAATCACCTTCATGTCACCGTGCTAATTAATTATTGATTTCATCTGAGGTGGCAGTGTGTTCCATGCAGTAATGGGAACACGTGTGTATAGGAAGGAGAGTGATGTGTCGTGTGAGACCAGAACCCAGAGAAGCCCCACTGCCCTTATTCTCTCTCTCTGAACAGGTACCTCCTGCTCACATTCTCTCAATAGCTGTCGGTACAAGTGATTCTTTAAACTTCCTTTGTTTGACTCAGCACACAATATACCTACGATCCTGAATGGATTTTTCTAAAGCCTCAAAGCTAAGCTGGATAAGCAGTTTCAAGGAAATGTGCATGAAATTTTATACACGCCATTAAAAATCGCCAAAAGAGTTAACTTGCCGTAACGAATAACTCCGACTCCCCTATGCTCCAATAACAGGGAATTAACACTGAATGCAGAGGCAAAGTGACAGTTGAAAATTCCTTCTTTCGGACGCTAGACATTCAGATGAAAGAGGAAACACACACACAGACACACACACTTACTCACCCCATTCACTGGATATGTCTTCCAGCCCAGCTCGCCAAGTACTGCTGTGGTATCCAACAGCACCACTGAACAGAAAAAAAATATCTGTTAGTACATATCACTCAGCACATTGTTAAACTTGAAAACAAAAACTTTATTTTTTGGACAATATAGATCAGCTCTGCACACAACCACATTAAAGTAGAAGAAACATGACAGTAGTACAAAAATAGTGCAAAAAAGTAATGTAGTGCAGTTAAGATATGAAACACCTATTGACATGAGAACACTAAATACCACAGCATCTTGTCCTTTTCTCAGCGAATTGCAATTTGTTACATGTGCACTGGGAGTTGGTTGCAATGTCTGGTTACGAGGACTTTTGAGGCCGAGCTTCTGAGACCACCAGTGATCAGCAGAGCGGCATAAAGAATGAAACGACCATCGTCAGTTCTCCCAGTGCCACTGCCGACATGACGGCGGCCCTCGGCCGGCTGCAGCATGGGAGAGAGGTCAGCGGCAACTCAGTGCCACTTGACGAATGAGAAACAGCTTTTTCTGTCGTATCTGGAGTCTGGGTTAACCATGATTGATGACACATGTCACTTCATGGGTATTAGTCAATGTGGCGAGGGCAAGGTCTTTGGGGATCCTCAGCCACAGCAGTTGACAAATGTGGAAGCTATGGAGATGTTTTTATTTATTTATTTATTTTAACCACCAGTATATACCTTCTCCCCCAACATGCCCTGCTTGGCAGCTCACGGCCAGTGGCTGGAGTCAACCTGGGAATCAGGTCACTTATTCCAGCGGTCAGAATGCCATCAATGATACGCCCTTTACCAGTAACATGTCACCATTTAGCAGTCTGCCAAAGTCCATGGTTCAGACAAAGATGCAACAACGGAATGAATGTGGTATCCCATTCACAAACCATAAAATTAGTTAACAATCAATTACTAGAGGACAATTTCCTGGGGTAAAAGGTTCTTATTTAAAAATGCTTTAGATCAAAGGGCTCCTCCCATTATGCCAGGGTACCCTACCCAGAAGAGGGTTTCCAAGACCCCCCTTTGAGCCAGGGGTGCTACTACTGTCAAGCAAGGGGTGACCAGGCCAGCTATGTAACTCAGCCATGATCAGCCAGAAAAGGTTATGTGGAGGCATCTTGTGCACTCATCACTTGCACGGTGAAAGGCGGGGGTCAAATGCAGTGCCACTTATGCAGCAGAAATGAGCGGGAAGGATCCAGATAGATTAGACCTTGGCAATAAACATTGGCTTTGGAAGTGTGAAACGTTGCCTCTTTAGCACTGGTGATACAAAAGGTATGACCTCCCTGCACAGTGTGGACAGCGTGGAACCAGACCTGTTCATGAGGTTCTCCTAATCAAATGTTCCCCACAGCGAATTGGGATACTCACAAGTCATAGGCTGCTGCTTGCACAGATTCCTTTTTCCCCAGTGGTTGCAGAGAGGAAAATTTCAGACTGCTGTTTGTGTTCATGCACTGAAGAACAGTTTGAAGCACAGAGCCACCTTAGAGAAAATGGGCAAGGTACTCGAAAGCTTAATGCCTGCAGACTCAGCGATCCTACTGTAGTAAGGAATGATGAAGATACTTGGAGGAGCGTGATCGGAATGGCTTTCTAAATCTAAACCTAGGTGCTGAACTGTTACTGGACTTCTGCGCAAGCAAAAGACTATCCATAACAAACACCACATCTGAACAGAAAGATGCTCATAAACACACCAAAATGCTGTAGGCCAGTGGTCAATTATCAGCTTTGTGGCCATGTCATCTGATTTGAGATAAGGTGTTCTGGACACTTTGAATTTAGCACATGAGGAGATCATAAGGACCAGGACAACCTAGGCAAGCAGTTAGGGTTTGCTAGTAAATTCTGGCTGAGGTTTATGTATAAGATTAATTCATCTCATACATCCAGAAAAACCAGCCACATGCCAACAGGTCAAGGGTATTTGAATAGACGATGTTCAAGGCCTCAATTGTTTTAGCTGTGGCCAGACGGCAGTAGGTGCTTCTCATGTCAGTAACTATGGACCTAGCTGGTGGACACCTGCGGTAAGGGAAGCTGTCAGACTGAAGGGGGAGGCCTTCAGAGTAATGCTTGGATGGGAGAAAGCTGAAAGGTAGGCAGACCTGATGGGCTGCAGTAAAAGCAGTCAAGGAGGTAAAAGCTCATGGAGAGAAGAGTTTGGAGAAGGTATGAAGAGAAATGGTTGGGCCCAAAGATGCTTGATAGCTCAGGAGGGGAAGGTGGGATCTTGTTCAGACTGTTTTCAGCCAGATTGGGGAAGTACTGACCAGCTGTGGGAATATTGTTGAGCATTGGAAAGAACACGGTTACAAAAGGAGGCAGTTCTGGATCAATCTGTCACTGAATTGTTATGGTTGTCAGAGGCCTCCATAGCGGAAAGGCTGCAAGGAAAGATGAAATCCATCCAGAAATGTTGAAAGCACTGAATGTTTTCAGGATGATAAGGTTGACAAGCCTCTTCAATGTTGCACGGAAAGTGAGTGGAGTATCCCAGGCCTGGCAAACAGGGATGCTAGTCCCTTTGGTGAGAGGAAATGTGAGATTGACAGGCAGATCGGTTTGGTGATTGAAGTTTTGCGGGCTCTGAGGAGGTTCGTGTAGTGAAGTGGGAGTTAAGATGTCAGATGAGGTGCAACCAGTCTATGTCCTTATTGTGACCTCCTGTCATGAGTTGTGGTTAATGACCAAAAGAATATCAGTACAATGAGGTTTTTCTGTAGGGTTATTGGGTTCACTCTCCATGACAGGGTAGGGAGCTTGAAGATCAAGAGGAACCTTGAAATTCAGGTGCTGCCCCTTCATGTCTAGAAAAGCCGAGTTGATTTGGGTGTTTTGTATGGACGCCAACTGGTTGACTCCCAAGGGAACTGTTCTGGACACAGCTCACTGGATGGAGGCCACATGGCAGATCTAAGACTCCAGCTAGCTAGAGAATGCCTAGGGATCCCCCAGAATGAGTCTGTCTGTGGCCATGGAGGTCTAATCTGACTTGCTCAGCTTGTTGAGACCACGAAAAGAAGAATATGAGTTGAGAAATGCAAATAAGGCAATTCAAAGGAAAACAGGCAAAAACACTGTAAGATTCTCTAGAAAATTTTGTGCAGGTGCAAAACACAGAGGTTAATATGACCTCAAATTTAAGAAAAGTAAAAGTCTGCTCCTGACACATTAGACTTCTGGAGCTGAACAGGACGAGCACTGCACTAACAATGCAAAGGTTGTAGGTTCAAATTGCAGGGAGCAAAGATGAATTGCAACCTTTCCTTCTACTGCAAGTTGCTTTCAATAAAAGCATCAGATAAATGAATGAAAATGTTAAATGCATCCCAGAAACTTCTGGGGATGTGTGTGGAAGGTTCACCTACTGAAATAACCGCCCTGTGTTTATTGCCAAAGTTTAACCGTAAGTAGTGCCAGAGGAAGTAGCCATTGGCAGCTGCCTAGTAAAGGGGATACAGGGAGTGAGCAGGTCGTTCTTTGACAACTCCAAGGCTGGAACATGATGTCTGTGTTTTTAATTGAATCTCAACCCATTGGGCAATCAGAGAAACCAAGAGGATGCAATCCAGAATAACAAATGTCTACAAACAGAATTTCAATTGCACTTTAGCTGCGAGGTATGAATCACATTATATGTGTCTCTGCATTTGTTTTGCTAGGGAGCAGAATTACACAAACATATCCTATTTCCCCTGTGTCACTTCTTCCAATAACAACAACATCTCAGCACCAAACTTTGAATGCATTCATTTTGCCTTGTTTAAGTATAACGCATATTGGCAAAGGTAAAAACATGTACACACTTGGGTGAAGCAAATTCCTTTCTGTCTGTGCAATACTTTTGCAGATGCCTTTCATTTTATTGGTCACTTGAGGTTTCTGTCTCCCACCATACTCATCTCTATTAGTCATGATGCTTCTAAATTCCTTCTAACTAAAAAATTGTAGTTATCAGGGCCAAGCAAGTCATGGAGCCACTCGTCTCTGTTGTTCTCTGTTTTCACTCCCGAGGCAGGCTGATTAAACGCACGGCAAACCGACTCGTGGTTGAAGCCTTATAGTTCGGCTAATAAGAATTCTGAGAGCATCAGTCAGACACTTGTTTTATACGTGTGGAATAACTGTGTACTCAACAGCTCAGGCAGCCGGAGTGAATGATGGACTGCATCTCAACTGAGGGACTGGAGAAAGATCCATAGCAGGATTCCTCCGGGAATTTAATAGGCCAACCTGTCTGGGAAAGTCAATTAGCGGCTCGTGGTCGAAATAGCTCGGAATGGTGGTGAAAATGAGTCAAACGTTTCCAAGCGCTAGATGGTACCAACTGGTTTGAAATTTTTTACTTTAATAGATAGTACAACAGATCTTAACCACTAACTGTCACAGTACAAGCAGATAGGTAACAGATGAGTTCATACATTTAACATGAAGAATTATACATTTTAGGTTTTTTTTTTAAAGTATTATATCAAATGTAACAATTAATGTTGCACTTACATTAATCCTCGACATCTGAAGAATTATACAGTCACAAGCTGCAACAGACAGTCAGACGGGTCCTTCCAACAACATAAAGCTTTTGACATGCAGTGGTTGTCAGGCCAGGACTGAAACTGAGCCAGGCTACATTACCGTTTCCTTCCACCATGTGCATACTTGAGGAAGTTAATCAAAGGCTTCATGATTAGCTGGCTAATAGAATCAAGGGCCCTGGATTGCAAAGTGCTACTATAATATTGGTGTGAATCTGTACCCTTCCCCACGTAAAGGTGTACAGATTTAAATTGTGTAAATCTGTAAAATGTTCTATTGTTTTATTTCTACACTGCACTAGTTCTTGGGCATTAAAATTCCATAACATATGCTTTAATCCTTGGTGTTGTGGAGGTAATTACATGTGTGAAGACAGATTTACTAAACATAGGTGTGTGATTCTACGTGTCCTGATGATTGCCTCAGTTTTAATTTCTGCAAAAGCATGCAATTTGCTTTTATAATATGTGTCAGTCCCTGTAAGTGAGCAG